ATTATGTCGGAGGGGCGGTTAGGTAGCCCAGTGGTTAAAACGTTCGCTCGTCACGCCGAAGCCACATACGTACAATGTGTGAATCCCATTTCCTGTGTTCCCCACCGTGATATTGCTGGAATATTGCTAAAAGCGGCGTAAAATGATACTCACTCACTCACTTACTCATTATGTCGGAATTCCATATCATGATAGGTGAACAGTACCTTGTGCTTATAGGCCGTATGTAGTGACCAAGGCCTTCGAGGTAGTCTCTTGTGGATCATCCTGTTTCGACCATCGCGACATCAACCACATTCGTTTTGTTTGTTTGTGCTGTATGTTGTTGCTACACCCAGCGATATACCAGCTGCATGAACTGTAGTATATTACCGAATCTGGACCAGACTATCCAGTGACTGACATGATGAACATCGATCAGCACTATTGGAATACGATTACATGTGTCAGCCAAGTCAGCGAGGCTGACCACAACCGATCTAATCATTTGCCTCTTACGACAAGCATGGGTTGCACTAAACAATAGCGTGTAATGACACCATGATTTCATTTACCAGGACTATTGGTTGACGCTTCTTTACAAGAGACTTGTTGGCAACAAAGTATTTGATGTTCCATCCTCATCGGACAACATCCGACTGTATGCCCACTGTACGAAGCTTAACAAGTGAGTTCACAACAACTGTATTCACAACTTGGTCAACATTTCCCAACAATGCAGACTACACAACAGTTTGATCATAGACTACCATTAATCACCTTGAAAAAGCATTTTATCAAAGTCCAAAATATACACACAATCATTGCAATTTGAATTTAGAGCTATGCCAGGTACTGGCAGAACAACATCTGAGTGTCCGTGATTTTCAGGAAGGAATGTTTTGGTCTTATTGGTACGTGTCATGAATATCGAATTCGACTTAAGACGTTACAGAGATGTAATGCCTATATGTGAGATTCCCGTGGGTGGCATCTGCATCTTTGCATAGCTAGCAGCTGTGTGACGTCATCAAATGACGTGACTTAAATCATTATGACGTCATGCCCTTACAAGTCATTCATATGATATTTTCAAAAATGAATGAAGGAAAGTAATACTAATAATCCTACATGTTGACATCTGTAATGACATCACTTTTCATGTTTCAGCGTATACAACTACAAGCCTGGAAGCATCACAGTGTATGCCCTCAACTTGAATAAAGACCCCGTACTCCTGACTATATCGGATCTGAACATCAATAGCATGGACAGATTCTGGCTGACTCCAGAGGGAGGAAACCTTACGTCAACGTTTGTATATCATATGTTTTCTTTCAACTCTAGAGCTTATGGACTGTGTCCGTGTTGCAATAATCACAGTGGCAAAGCCATCAACAACCGGTTTAAAAAATGAGGATAAAGTTGAGAGGCATTTGCCTCAAAAGCAGCTCTTGACGCAGGAATCTGTAAAATGACCTACGACAAACTTTCTTCTTTGATGGACATTTTAGAAGTTGAGTTGATGAAGAATGATGACAATTTTTATGGATATACAACATTTTTTATTCTGTGAAGGGTGAAGTGTCGACATAAATGCCGTTGTCAAGCAAGTGATGACAACGACAACGCCTTTCACAGAATAAAAGAAGTTGTACATCCATAACAATCGTCATCATTCTACGACAAACTCGTTCACACATGCTATAGTTGCAGGACATCTGTTGGATCCACAGATGATCAAGAAGAATAAGCAGACCAACCAGGTTTTATATTCTTTCCAGGAAAGTCCAACTCAATGGCAACACTCTGGAACTTGTCAATAACCAAATACCACACATGATGCCAAGATCTTTGGGAAGTGGGACGATGAAAGTACCCGGAAACTCATTCGGCTTCATCGTCATCCCTGACTATAACATCGCGGCATGTCAATCACAAGGCCACGGTACCATTGTCGGATAGCCATCTGAAAATTGTAATAAAATGTTTACAAACCGCCATGATGGTTGTCTTTTGGAATGTAAACGTGTTAGGTGGCCTTTGAAATATCTTAATTGTGATAACATCCTCTATTACTAACTTCTATTTACAAGTTTCAGTTAATCTACATGTTTCTCAGAGTGAAATATGACAGGAAACACAACACAGGGTTATTTAATTATGCAGTTATATTCATCCCTGAAACGACTTCACACTGTGCAAATAAAACAGTATGTGTTTGAATAAATGGTTGGAAGGTTTAGAAGGTTCTTAAGTTCATATAATATGGAATAAACTGCTCCAAAGGAGGGTTGCCCATGCTCTCACACTGTAGTGCGGTACGAACCGATCTTAGGGTTACACGTTTTAATTTTGAAATCCCCTCTTTACAAGATTTATGGAATATAGTTACTTTTGCATCCTTAGACCAGGATGATCATGGCTATGCGACAGTTAAGCTGTTGCCTAAATGTTTTTTCAACTCAACTCCCTGCACCAACGCGTCTTATCACCAGTAAAGCTCCACATCGTCAACACATATTTATAATTTGCCTACGAAGGCAAGGACTGACGTTTGAATGTATATTACCACGTACGTTTACTTCGCTACTGTGTGTACGGTGCCCATGGAATACATGGCCAAAGTGTGGTGATTAAGTGATCTTCAGGTAACATTTGTAGATCATTAAGTTGGACAAAAATACAACAACAAAAAAACCTGACTGATTGACAGCGTTGCAACACGAACATATTTAGAATTCCAGATTTGTTACAGACTGCCATCTCATGACGGTACTGCTGGGATGGGTCAGGCAAGAAAGACTTTCATTCGACGCAGATGGTCTGAGTGAGGGACAGAAACTACATGCTTCCTTTTTGGGGCGAACACCTGGTGTCATTACGGATTTTCAGTGATCCGTTCATATATGTTCACCTTGATTTTGCATTATTGGCAAATTTGTTTCAGAGAATAATCGAGACTTTGCATGTTGTAATCATCAATTTAGGTCAGCTAGACTGACATGAAGACAGGAGACGGTTATACATATCATGAGTGAATTTTCGCTTCTCAAAACATCTTTGGAAATATGTGTTATTTATTGATGTACAATGAACAATTCCTAATACATCAATCCCGTCCTGAGAAACAGCACACGCAATAACAAATCAGTTTGAAATGCTTGGATACATTGCATGCTTACTGCACTCGCAGAATGAGAATGAGGTACTACAGTGTGTAAAATATTGACGATACATCCCATACATCCGATACATCACCTTTGGTGTCATGTAGGGTTACTTTGACCAAAAGTAGAAGTACGATTTACTGCATGTTGGAAGCCCGCAGGTTTCTGAATAATACTTGTTTGGCCTTTGAATGTGTCGTCAGTATGTAGTCAAATTAATTACAAAATAGCCTGCAAACAGCATGTAGCTATGGAAGAGGGAGCAATATGGTTCTTACAGCATTTACAGTCTACTGTTGTAGAAAGGACTGGCATCTAGAACACACAAGCTTATTAATGTTACTTTTACAAAATTAAGTGAGACAACAGAACACAAACACGCAAAAGCAATGTGCAAACTAACTGGTTAAAAGCTGTGACGAAATATTTGGTAGGCGTTTAAATAGTGCTAAAGGAGAATCCACTTGTGGTCGATTGTGACCCAGTGCAAACTGAATTCATGTCCTCTGTATATTCGACAATGGGCTTTGTCGACTCGACACAAGCTTGCATGGGAGAATATTTTCGATCGTCCAGGAAAGTTTTATTTGCAGATTTTGCACTGTTAGACTCAGCGTCATCACTTCACAAAGTGTTTAAACTCACCTACATCATAAATGTAAAGTGTATCTTCGTCATATTAAGGATAGGTTGTGTGTCTATATATTTCCAAATGTTATCGGGACTTGATTTTTCTCAGTTTCACATTTACGTAATAACACTAAGATAAGATACCAAAACAGATACACACAAGCCCAGTTCTTGACGAAAAGTCTAGGCATAATCTTACATGTGGCTACATTTTCTTATCAATTGTCAGGTCTTGGTGGCACCTGCTGTTTGCCCAAACCGAAGTCAACATAGGAGGTGTATATATCCAAATGAAATAACAGTGAAAATGTTCCCGGATATCATGATCTTGTGTTTATTTGGACTGGCTCGGATCCTGCCGTTTACTGTGTCCCTACACACCGAACATATCAGGGTGAAAACTAACCACGTGTTGCAGGTGATAGATGACATGTTTGTTGGCGTCACCATCGCCGGCAGTCAACTGAGGTCCAATCTGAAGTATCACAATGTCAGGTAATAAAACATCGGGGCAAATATGTCTGATTGGTTTGTTACTTGGTTGACGGATTTGTGTGCAAATCGAGGTTCCGGATGAAAATATACATTTAAATCCACAAATAAATGTCATGAACACTGTCCACAGTGGAAGTCTGGAGTGTATCATGAACATTATGAAATAGAGATGATACCAGGTCGGGTGCATTCTGGTCCATCAGCGGCACTTGTCAAAAAACGGTGCGAAGTAAAGTCTGTTATTCGTCTGTGAACATATGGTGCAAGTACTGACTGACTGAGTTTGGTTTTACGCCGCTTTTAGCAATATTCCAGCAACATCACGGCGGAGGACACCAGAAATGGGCTTCACACATTGTACCCATGTAGGGATTCGAACCCGGGTCTTCGGCGTGACGAGCCAACGCTTTAACCACTAGGCTACCCCACCGCCCCTATGGTGCAAGTATAAATAGGCAATACCATATGACGTTTTGACAGCTTTACCGGGGCCTTATAACCTGGACAATCACATTGTGAATAAAGATTCTTGTGACGTTCTTTGTAATCTTGGTAAAAATAGCCTGTTCGATTGTAGGGACTACATTCAACCAGGGAATATAACATGATTATTACCATGGTTCAAGAAGCACACAAAACGTGTTTGTTTTAACAGTTCTCCCAAACTGCTGACTCTGGGAAAAGCTTTAGCTCCAGGGTATCTGAGAATCGGTGGCTCGGCACTGGACTACATGGTGTTTGACCCGACCCACAACATTGCTACTGGAGACCAGTTCCAGCTCCCAGGTGATAGCTATAAAACATTGTTCCATCCTTCTAGCAAACACCTTCACCAAAAGGTCTCCCTATGAGTCCCCTTTTGACTGACGGATTTCATGTTTCTGTGTTCACATAATCTTGTTTAAACTGTCATAATTCAAGATGCCTCCAAGTGTGATTTGACTATATATTCAACATATACAACTGGAAGAATGTATTATTTTATGTCAGATCGTTGCATCTTTCTAGAAAAAACCATCCCCAGAAAGACGTTGAATCTACATGTACGTTTTGATTGAAGAATATCCATATTTCTGAGTTCACGTAATCTTATGCAAACTGTCATGATTGAAGATGCTTCCAAGTGTGATTTGACTCTACATTCAAGATATACAACTGAAAGAATGTATTATTTGATGCCTGATCTAGAAACACTTATTTTCAGCAAACACCTGGGATGATCTTAACATGTTTGTTCACAAGATTGGCTTCAAACTGGTGATTGGTCTCAACCTGGTGCTCCGCAACGGAACGAGGTGGAACCCATCAAATGCAAAGCTGCTGCTCAAATATTCCTCTGACAAAGGATATCCTTTTGCAGGGATTGAACTGGGAAATGGTAGGTTTCAGAGGCATTTACCACACATAAAAGTTATTCTTGCTGGGGATGTCTTGAGGAGGAGGTCCCGAACAACCTGTACTTGTATGAGGTGACTGAATGGATCGGTAGTCAGGCTGGTTAATTTGTGATTTTACCGGACCACTGGAATCTAACCGCCTGGACATTATGAATACTTTCATCCCGCATGCATCGTTTCACATTATCGTGAAGAACAAGAGATTGTCATCACTATTATTACATTTTGATCTTCGCATTGTTATTTATTCCATGATAAATTGATACCGTTGCCAGATTTTTATATCGTGCTTGCTGAAATTTATTTTAATTGTACCTATTTTTCATGAAGAACCAAACTTGTATTTCCGACATCGGAACATTACAATCAGTGATGCTCAGGTGGCAAGTGACTTCAAGGAGCTGAAACAAGTCCTCCAAGGAACGGCCTATAAGTCTAGTCTCATCCTTGGACCTGACATAGCCGGTTATAAAGACAAGGTCATTAAAAAGTATGTACAAAATAGAAATTGCATCAATTCACATCAAGCTGTCACGCTGTGAAAAGTACAAAATCGTATTAAAACCACTTAAATGCGTAAAAGTTTCACACACAAGAGAATCCATTTCCACAAACGTTTCGTCCCTACTACCTGTGAAAAGAGACCGTTCCTTCCAGCTTCCTGTCCTTGGGTGGAGCCAGTGTCATAGACGTCTTGACCATCCATCAGTGAGTACCTTCCTTCAGGGTGGGGAAGTATCAGGGCCTACAATGAGTATGTCAGTAGCAATACTCCAGTAATATCACGGAGGGGAACACCAGAAATTGGTTTTAAACATCGTATCCGTGTGGTGACTTGAACCCGGTTCTCCATTTGTTTAAGTGATTGTTGTGTATACAGTAACACAGTTAAAAAGTCCTGTTTCAGTTACTACTTTGATGGACACACCGCCAAACTCGAAGACTTTTCTGACTATACAATAATGGACCGTCTTATACCTGAACTACGGTCAGTGATGAACACAGTCCGAAGCTATCATGGTCTGGTGGCGTGGCTAGGGGAGACTTCTTCTGGCTATGGGGGCGGCACTCCTGGTATAGGCGATAGATATGTGGCAGGCAATCTGTGAGTATTTTAGCTTTCCAAAGAATTTTGGTTTGAAGTTTTCTGTAAGACGGGTCAGTAAGAAACATTGAATACAGCAGAATTATGTCAACCAGAGCACTTCCGATGGAGCGCCAGTATACGTTGATGTTGATGCCAATTGATAAAACATGCTTGCTAGAAGGAGATGCAGGGGTACATTTGGGAAAATTTGCTAGATGGAGATAGGGGGGTACATTTGGGAAAATTGGAATCAATTGTATGTTCAAGCATACGTGTTTATGGTGTACCATTGCTGATGTCTTAGCATAATATTCCAGTTTCCTATGTGTCTTAAGAAAGGATGTGTACATGTACGGATATATGATGATTATTCTTATTTTTAGGTGGCTTGATAAACTAGGTGTATCAGCAAAATATGGTTTTAAAAGGGTCCTCCGCCAGTCACTCTTTGGAGGGCACTACTCGCTTACTGACAGCAACAACGACCCTACTCCTGTATGTATTCTTAAGTAATGTCAAAATGTACTATGTCATATTAACGATTAACAATGTAGTTTTGGCCGACTGCAATATGAACTCTCTTGACAAGGATCGTTGAAGACCTTTAAAATCTTATTATTATGGAAGAATCACTACTTTAACAGCTATTTTCAATGTCCTGTTAGGACAGCTTGAATTGGCACAGAACAACACAGAAGTCAATACTGTTTTTCTTATAGAGGAACACAATAATTTCTTCTCACAGGACTATTGGTTGACGCTTCTTTACAAGAGACTTGTTGGCAACAAAGTATTTGATGTTCCATCTTCATCTACTAGCATCCGACTGTATGCCCACTGTACGAAGCTTAACAAGTGGGTTGTTAAACCATATACCTTTACAAAACTTGTAAAGCGTATACTCGAAAACATTCACCTTTATCATACATAAACATATCTTTTAGAATGAAAAGAACGACGTCCACAATGGCCATGAATGGAAAGTTGTTTGGCTGCTCGAAAAAAACTCAACTCACAAAACATTTAATTTAAATCCAAATGCAATTCGGTTTTCCAGCAAGAAACGATGAAACAATAAATAGGATTATCATTCTCTATCGTATCCATACATGTTTCGAACGAAGACACACCCAACATTCCAAAATATTGCAGGTAGCGTTCTGGTCATCTAGACATTTCATCTAATTGTGTGAATGTTGCATATGCTATACATATATGACTGACTGACTGACTGACTGAGTTTAGTTTTACGCCGCTTTTAGCAATATTCCAGCAATATCACGGCGGGGGTCACCAGAAATGGGCTTAACACATTGTGCCCATGTGGGGAATCGAACCCGGGTCTTCGGCGTGACGAGCCAACGCTTTAACCACTAGGCTACCCCACCGCCCCTATACATGAATTACCAATATTGTAAGAACATTATATCAAAGTCATAACATGCACACACTGAATTTGAAAAATAATGTTTGCCATAATTACGCCCAATACTGTAGCCGAAGTACAGAACATCATCTCAGGGTGCAGGATGTTTTCTGAGCCGAATGCTCTGCTCTGTACGTTTCACAGCGGTTTTTCCCTTTACACTAAACGGAATTTGTTGCTGAGGATAGTTAAGACTGCATTTTTCTTCCGCACTGACGTCCTATATTTAGTTCAACTGAAGTTCCCGAGAATATTGGGGATAAATAGCATATTTTAGTATGCAGAGTCAACTACAAACATTAAACGTGCCCCCTTAATGTGTTGCAAAGCAAATCTATTCCGAAACACTTTTCGTTACTTACACGGTTTCGAATCTCTGTACTTATTATTATCTAACTGTCTTTTGCGTTCCATCAACAACTTGATTATCTGGTCTGTTTACACGCCTCTGTTGCACGGCTGGAGTACTGTTCTGCAGAACATATAGGCAGAACATATATATACTAGACAAAAATAGTTAGGGATATATTTCAATTTTGAAATTATAAATAATGATCCATTTATTCATTGACACACCGATAAAATATCAATCATAAAATACCAATATCCCTAACTTATTTTATCCAGTATACTTCCATTTTCAGGCGAACACCCGGTGTCTTTACTGTTTTTCATTGATCCATTCATATTATTTGTACAGCTATCTTTCCATTTACACATGAATATGTTGATTAGTTTTTTATTCTGCACTAATCTTCTGTAGTTGCCGTATCGGCATATGTCAAGAATATATAATCGCGGTTCAAAGGTCACAAAAATGTATTACAATGTTATGTTTCATGTGGCAGCCCCGTGGCCGCCATCTGAATTTCAACATAGTAACTATACGCACGTGACATTAATCAAACATTATGACGCCATTGTGTCCTCACAGGTCGGCCAAGGCAATTCGAGGATATTTTCACATTCATTGAATTTCACGACATCTGTTTTGACATCACTGGTTCATTTTGGTTTGTTTTACTGAAAACAAATAATATCACTTGACATCATGTCCTCACAAGTCAATCGTATGATATTTAAAAAAAATGAAATGACTCTAGTAGGTTTAGTAATAATCCTACATATTGACATATGTTATGCCATCACTTTTGGTGTTTCAGCGTATATAACTACAAGCCTGGAAGCATCACAGTGTATGCCCTCAACTTGAATAAAGACCCCATACTCCTAACTATATCGGATCTGAACATCAATAGCATGGACAGATTCTGGCTGACTCCGGAGGGAGGAGACCTTACGTCAACGTTTGTATAACATAATATGTTTTCTGTCAACTCTTGAGTGAGTGAGTGAGTAAGTATGGTTTTACGCCGCATTTAGAAATATTCCAGCAATACCACGGCGGGGTACACCAGAAATGGGCTTCACACATTGTGCCCATGTGGGGATTCGAACACGGGTCTTCGGCGTGACGAGCGGACGCCTTAACCACTAGGCTACCCCACTGCCCTGTCAACTCTTGAGCTTAAGGACTTTGTCCGTGTTTCAGTTATCACTGTGTCGTAAGTCGGTTCATAAATAATTGGTTCAAATTATGAGGATAACTTTGAGAGACATTTGCCAGTTTTCATTTTCTTTCCAGAAAAGTCCAACTCAATGGCAACACTCTGGAACTTGTCAATAACCAAATACCACACATGATGCCAAGATCTTTGGGAAGTGGGACCATGAAAGTACCCGGAAACTCATTTGGCTTCATCGTCATCCCTGACGCCAACATTGCGGCATGTCAATCACAAGGCCACGGTACCATTATCGGATAACTGAACCAGCATTATTTTCCTATTACGTTTAAATAAATTATTTACAAAGGCTCTTTAACGTTTGTGTTTTGGGACTTAGTCTTGTTACTCATCCTTGATATGAAGTTCCCACAAGCAGGTCACCCAGTGGGTTTGTACAAGTAATGATGGTTAGATCTTCAGGAAGAGTAATGATTAGCGTGTTTCCTGGGTGAACAGTATCAAACGTTATGGACATTGCTGTTTCATGTCATTGTCGAACTGATTTTACGTCTCAGGCTGTGGGATCCGTATTTATTAAGATACGTCTGGTGGCCGCATACTAACATGACACTCGGAATTGATTGTTTGTTTTGTGTATTGTGCTTGCCCTCCCCATTACTAACGACGGTTTGATGATACCAGCCCAGCCAGATACCAGGTCGCAGTTTAACGTGAATATTCCACTCAGATATAGTAATGTCTCCCAGCCAGCATGTCCTCATTCCGTCATGCCGAATGCTAGGCAGGGAAGCAACAAGTACCATTTGTGAACGTCATTGATGTGGCGTGGTGAGGAACCGAACCGCACACATTCTAGTTTGCAGCTGAAGTACAACTTGGTTTAACGTCGCCTTCATAAGTTAGCATGTTTTATTGTTTGATTGTGTGTGTGTGTGCGTGTGTGCGTGTGTGCGTGCGTGCGTGCGTGCGTGCGTGTGTGTGCCCGCATGAGTGCGTGCGTGCTCGATCAGTAAATGTTTCTATTTTTCTTAGAGCCGAGCACCCGTACCACCGTAGCAACAAGTACCATCTGTATCTATTACAACAATTGGTGTCCTTTTAACATGATGGATTTTTTTGTGGATCAGATTATTTACTTACATGATATAGATATTATTAGGTATTTAGTTTTTAGTGATTGCCCATGTAAATAACAACATGAACGTTGATTATAAAGGTCATTCCGGTTACTATTAACACATCACAATATATTGTCACCTACTTTGAGAGTCTACTTCCTGACACAGACAATACAAGTGTACATTGGTGCAACGCATCAGAAGTTCCCTGCCCAGTAAATCTCATATACAACATTGTCAAGCAAAGCAATGTAACCATGAGTTGTTAAAAGTTTATCAACAAATAAAAACGCCCGTATAAAACCGTATATACAGTGAACTACAGAAGAAAGAGTGAAACACTGAATAGTGACAGTATAAGAGCATACTATGCATTGTCGATGATAACAGTAAGCTACAGAAATATATGGAAGGTAATATGAAACTACAAAACTGAATCTTGGCATAAAGTGGTTATAACTGTGGCAGTATTATCAGGATGTTTGCAGTTAGTGATATTATCATTCTAAATGCATCAACACAGGAGACTGGATGAGCAATAGTGATGGAAGTGATGTTTTAAGAAGTGGACATTTCTTTCCTTTTGGGCGAGTTGATGGAAGAAAGGGAGATGGTTATGAGAAAAAAGGTTCATAAATGTGTCACAGTGTAATATACAAAAGATCAAATTTTGAAACAGACATGTTGAAACAGAAGCAATGACTTGCATCATGAAGCGAAATGTGAATTTGAATGTTACTATGCAGCACTAGGTAATATGTACGAAAAGGCCTAAAGTGTAAAGAGGTTCACTGTTAAAGGATAACAACTTCTTGCTCAATATCTATGTAGTATGGTTTCGCCGTACTCATTTCCGGGGTTGTTTAGCTGGCGTGAATACAACCAGCCAACAATATCAACGTAGTGATAGAAGTAAGAGACTGAAAAGTTGTTTCTATATCAACTGAACTATATGAGAGCATTTAAAATACAGGACATGATTCAGCATCATTGATCATCGGACATTCATAAAAAAACTTATCCAACAAAAATAATAGGCAAGTTTGCAAAAGGAATTGCTTTTTGTATTAACTTCGACTGTTTTCGTTCATTGATTCATACGTTTGTTTACAAAGGTAATCGAGAACTGATGCATTTTGCTCACATAATACAAGCCACACATAATTAGTTACAGGTTTCACATAATATTGAATGTCCTTGTAATAGATATATTTTGATCATTTTGTTTCATCTTCTGCAAATGATGGCCAAATAAAGGTCGATATAAATTATTCGACAAAACCCACATGTACACAATCCATGTAACCGAATACTGTTCGTAGAAGCTTATCTTAACCGTATGTATATTCCCACGGTGATGATCTGGAAACTCTTATGAGTGATAAATGGGTATTTTACTGCACCTAAAAATATGACAATATTACCAACAGCTTTTAAAATCTTTCAATGCAAGTTTTCGACAAACCAAAATGGTACTATCTATTAGTGATACTTAAAGGAACCAAATACTTCCCCGCCATCAGTCACATGGTAGGGTTAATCAGGTAATACCACATAAACAGGAAACATAACAAACAGTCACGAAACACAAGTCGAACACTTGACTGATATGCAGCCGTTGTCCTTCCTGGTACTACTTTCGAATGCTTCCTTTCATTGATTCCTACGTTTATTTACAAAATTTATCAAGAATAGATTATTTTATTACTTAGTTACATTCATTGACACAAACTTACTCACATATACAAGCAATACATAATCAGTTACCAGTTTCTCATAATATTGAATGTCCTTGTTGTAGATAGATTTACACAAAATTTTGTCGCATTTTGTGCAAAGGGATGGCCATTTAATGGATATAAATCATTCGTTAGAAAACCCATATACAAATCAATTTAGACGGATACTGTTCGTAGAAGCTTATCGCAACTGAATGTTATTTCTATTGCTATAATATGGAAAGCATTACGAATGAAAAAGGATAATTTACACTTCTGAAAATATTACTACAAAATCACAAACTACAAACTTTTAAAATCTTCAAATACTTAAGTAACTTGAATATGCACATTATCCTCAGTGCCATGAACTATTCCGAAATAAAAATGGTAGCTGACCAGTTACTTACATATGTGTTCATCTGATAGATTTAACTAAAATACAAATACACAATACATGAGTGTTTCTGTTTTATATACAATTGTTAACTAGCACAATGATATAAAGCATGCAGTGACATTACAATTCGAACTATATAACATGTTACATGGGAGAGGTGTTGACATGAACTGTAACAACTTGTTTCCCTATCTCTGTTCATTCACTGAAGTCACGATATTTCTGAAATATTGCCAAAGTGACTTTAAATTTTAACTCACTCACTCACTCATTCACTGAAAACAACGTGCATGAAAAGAGATTATCTAAAACGTATCTGGGATATATGTTCATTCGTGAAAAGCATATATGTACAAAAGTGAGCTAGATTGACAGTAACGTGCGGATGCTGTTGAAATACCTATGGAACAATTTGGTCAGTTTTGTAAGAAATCCAGTCGGGTAGATGGGCTGACCTAGCTAACTAAACATTTGAGTCTCAAACTTTCTTATGTTACAGTGTCACGTGTGCTGATTAAACGTCGCCGCTTGTTAATCCACGGATATGAAATTAGTCATTTGTAGACGGCTGAAGCCGGCGATAATCCTGTTTGGCCCAACATGTCATTCCTGCTATCATAAGCAAGCACTCTGCATCAATACAATCACAACCTGACCCCCACCAAGCAGCTCGCCAAGCTGTATGCAATCGTGACGAGAATTTCAAATTTGTATTCATACGGACTTCCCCTCCTTTGAGGACACTTGGGTATGGATGTAACTTTGTTGATACTTCTTGAACAACCTTCGATTGTTATACATAGTATAAACAGGTTCCCATTCCACACAGGCAAGCTGTGTCTCGTAATGAGTGTTTCCACTTTGCTAATTTAGAATGTTACGCATTTTGATCCTCGATGTCTCCTACACTTCCGATCACCATTCGTGGGAAGTATGAGTGAATCATGTTCAAGTTCAATGAGTAGAACGGTATATATGTCATGTGAGCTGCACATGTTTGCCTGTATTGCTGACAATCCGATCAAGTCTTTGCTTTTAATATCCAAGAAACTGATGCCAGCTGGACTGATCACACTAAATCTCATTATACAAAAGCATCTAACGTCAGATGCATCAGTCTTAAAAGCTGATTGCAGCTTTGACTTTCGTCCAAAACTCTTCTTTGTCATTTTCTTGTGTAGGATACTTAATATACGTGTCATACTCAATCATGTCCCGAATATCTCTACTGAGGATTCTATTGTCCGGTATATCGGTATACCACAACACACATAGGACATCTCTTCCAGTGTGGATGCTCTCCAACTTGGCCATGTGAACTTCATAGTCACACCAGGAGCTCTTTGCAAAGCTAGGTGACAAAACAGCAATGGTCTTCCTGCTTGACTGAATAGCATTGATGATGTTGGCGGTAATGGCTTCACCAACCATGAAGTCACGGTCGTGGATGCACAACCTCAAGCCGTGGGTTCTCTCTAGAACAGCCCGCATTTCTTCAATGACGAAACCTCTGTCTGCCTCAGCATAGGAAACAAAGGCATCATAAGTAAAATGGTCTTCTTCTTGTCCAAGTCTTTGATACCCCCTGTACTTCCGTCTTGTGGTGTAGTACAGATAGCGTAGCTTCCATCGATATCGGTACACCATACCAGCTCCAAATATCAACATGGAAAGCAGTATTCCTACTACTGCTGTAGACAGGAGGGGGAATAACTATTTTGCAACGTACTTGGAGCTTCGCTTTAACATTTTCTATATCTACAAATGAAATGGTTTCCCCATCTGATAAGGTGCATTTTGTGTTGCCAGGATCTTCAATGGAAATAAACGGCCTTGTAATCCATTCTAATGACTCCAGTGTCGAACAATCACATTTCAAGATGTTACCCTTGATGCTGAGATGAAAAGTGTCGTTTCTATTACTCATGATATAGTCAATTTGATTTGTCAGGCGTGTTGGAATGCCTTCATACCTGTTTCTGGAGATGTCTAAGGTATGGAGGTGCGGCATGTGCCTAATTTCAATGTTCCAGGAGGCCATCATGTTCCAGCCTAAATCAATAACCTCAAGTCTGGTAAGTCCTCTAAATATCAATGACGGCAGTTCCCGAATAAGATTGTGTGAGATTCGTATGACTTCCAAGTTTGTTTGGTTGCCAAATATCTGCCCATTTGTGTCCGCTAGAAGGGACACTGATAGGTAATTTCGACTTATATTTAAGACTTTTAGTCCATCAGCATACATAAAAAATCTGTGAGATACATATTTACAGTAATTGTCTGAGAGATCTAAATATTCAACTGTTTGACTTTCATGTATTGGACCTATCCAGTTTGTAAAGACATTGTTTGAAATGTCAATAGTTTTAAGTTGGTTTGTATGAAAGTTGAGCTCAACAATATCATAGTTCAATTTGCTGTTGCTAACATTTACATAGGTTGCATTTGGAGGTAGTGGTATCTTAAAATGAGGACCTAAGATACTGGTTTGGTTATATTTTACATCATAATAGGGACTATTATGATGGTTACGGTACGAAAGGCTATGGCTGCAATCTGCCTCACATTGTTCACAGGCATGGATGCTGTTATGTGAATATTGAACCATTGGCTGGGGATCAGATGAGGGCAGCGGATTGGGGGAGAGGATTGTGCCTCTAACTGCATCAACTTGATTGAAGGGGATATTAGATGAATACTGGTTATAAGCATACATTTTCCGCAGATTTGTCAGTCTATCGGCACTCAGGAGATAGGATCCGAATGTCACTCTATTGTGATTCATGGATATTATTTCCACTGTTTTCATCTGACCGATGCATTCCTGGTCTATGAGTTCCAACCTATTTGCATCAATATGAATCTCTTTTAAATTAAGATCACTGAAATATCTCGTATTGTGTTTCTTTAGGTGAACCCCAATGGCAAATGTTGTCACTATTCTGTTGATCTTTAAAACTCTTAGAGAAGAATTTCGAAGTCCATATATAGCTTCACCCATGCGATCAAACCCTAGATATTGATTGTCAGATATATCGAGTGTATCAATATGCCTTAATGGCCAGAATGCACTTGCTTCAATATAGTTGATTCTACATTTGCTTATGTCCAGGTTCCTGACAGATGGGGTGTAGAGAAATGATGTATTCAACAGGGTTTGAACTGAGCAGTGGCCCCTTTTGCCTGATAACGACAGCGTAGTAAGATTCTTCAGTTTCGAAAATCCAGTCCCAAACGAGGCATTCCGAACACCGTCAATGAAAAGTCTCTGAAGAGCAGTAAGATCACCAAGCGCTTTATCTGGGTATACTGAATCTGCGATCTTGTTGTTTGCGATGTTCAGCGTAAGCAATTTTTTCTGCTCTCTAAATATGCCCTCTGGATATGCTGATTCGTTAAGTTGGAGATGGTTTCCTTTGAGGTTCAAATGTAGCAGATTTGTAGCTCCTGCAAAAGTGTGTACATGCAATCTTTTCAGTTGATTGAAAGACAGATCAAGATGTTCCAAAGCAGAGAACCGTCGGAACGAGCCAACTGGCAGATGCTTAATACTGTTTTGAGACAAACACAGGTATGATACTGAATTTGGGATCTGCTTGGGGATGTTAGATAGATGTTTGCCCTTACAATTGGCGATCAACTTTCCATTGGGTGTGACCCTACATACACAAGGCTTACAGGAGATGTCCAATTGTTTCCCTTGAGTCAGAGAAAGGCAGGCAAGGAGCAGGCACATGACGCACAGCAACATCTTATCTGAAATCATGAAACAAATGCTGAAATTAGCAAAATAGTCGTATGATTGTATCGTTTGTAACCTGGGAAGCTTTATTGAAGGAGTAGACTTATTTACGTCATTTGTCAAGGTACCCTCCAGACTGAAGTTCACAGCGTGGAGAACATTTCGACTAAGGTCTTCATTAAGGGTTGTGACCACCTCTAGCGTATCTTACAGCCACACAACGTCTCCTCATGGATCTTAGGACTCTGTCACACTTCTGTGTATCCTAATTCCTTATGACTTGCGCATTGACATTTCTTTCATACGCAGTCTTACTCACAATACCCACTTCATATTCATCTCAATCGTTTTGTGTATTTCCTACACGGCAATACGCTGATCTCCAGGCACGAGCTCTGAACCGCATATATTGGACGTATACATGCATACTTGCAGAGCGGATACAAGGAATCAGTACCGTTTGTCCTGAGATCGGGCAGCGCATTGTACTTATTTATAAAGTATGACAAACGCACAGATAGAGTATTATCCGAACATCCATGGTATACTCGAGATGTGGTATAAATATGATGGCTTGGGCGGGCCATGATGACAAAAGGTTGATGTTCACGCTATAGAATCTGCACTGGTAACGAAAATAGCGGGAAACAGCAGCGCATTTTTAAGCCGCCTTGAATACCCTTGGCATTCGCCGTAAGTGTGTCATCCTCATCCTAAGACTTAAAATTGTTTGTCGTGAGCCATTAAAGCAACAGCGACCACAGACTGGCCAGTATCAAGCCTCCCCATAACATGTTGACTTTCTTGATTTGAAAGGCGTGGCATTTCCGAAGAAAGATTAAAATAAAACGTTTAATTTGTTTTCCAGCTCACATTCAATGTGCGTGTTCAGTTGAAGCAAACATGCACCAGGTGACCTCTTGAATTTGCTTTTTCACATGTGCAGTCCGTGTTTTTCATCTTCATAGACGACAAAGTCAAGGTTTGCTCGTGAACTTACAATTTCACGAAATTAAAGCATTCCCACTGTTTACAACTATTTAATATACTTGTAAACTTATTTGATTGAACAGAAAAAGAGAAATATCGAAATGTATCATTGTCAAGTTTTCAATTTTGCTGGTTATCTTACTATTCCACATGTTATATACTTTGTAAACATTGATTCATTGTAAGATTATGCTGCGTTTTGAAATACTGTCACGCCTGTTCGGTGAGGTAACAGAAAACTGGCTTCACACAATATATCTACATGGGTCTTTGAGGTCTTCTAAATGAGTGAACGTTAAATCCACCACTTCACGTTTTGTGAAACTAGGATATCATCAAGTATACTAGATACTCCTTTGAGAACGGACTGTGACCTATACTTACTGTCTTAGAAACCAGATAAATAGTAGAATCTTCTTTGTAAAGATATACAAGAATACATGTCTTTGAGAAGTACTGATGGCCCCTTAATGCATTGATTTACAAGCAGAAGGAGTGAGTGAGTTTAGTTTTACGCCGCTGTGAGCCATATTCCAGCAGTATCACGGCGGGGGACACCAGAAATGGATTTCACACATTGTACCCAACAAACAGAAGGAAAAGTCTATGTTTCATAAGTACACAAGGAAGACTTCAACTGACTAATTCGTGACATGTAACAGTTGACCTTCCTCCTCAAGCCAGCTTTGCTTGTCCAGTTAGCCCTAAATATAGATAAACCAGGAATTATCTCTCGAGCAACTTCTGAAGCGTTGCTCTTGTCACGTTACAGCGACACTATTCGCTCTGTTATCGTTAAACATGTCCGACCAGAGTGGAGTCGATTCCCACTACATGTTGAGTATGTGTTTGTGAATTATCAAGTAATGACACCCGGTGTTCCCGAAACATGTTCGCACTTCCTGTTGCACAGTTGACTCCTACCAGAAACGCATGCAATGCATATCTGAAGAATATTATCATTAACATTAACATATGGTGCATGTCAAAATAATGGTTTCCATCGGACCTCTTACATGTCACTCTTGTGTCGAATGGGAAAACGTCCCCTACATATGCACATACAACTTTTTTGAAAGCTTTCCCGAGAAATTTACATGTAACTAATTGTACGCTGTTGACGTAATTCATTTATAAACTAAACTGTCCACTCATGCAAGCCCTTTACTGAATGCTCATTGGACATCTACCAAATAACAAAGATCCGTGAAGATTCGGGCTAGAATTGATCTTCAGCAACCCATGCTTTTTGTAAGAGGCGACTAACGGGATCGTGTGGTCAGGCTCACATGTCATAGAATCCCAAATGCGTAGATCAGTGCTCATGATGTTGATCACTGGACTGTCTTGTCCAGACTCGATTTTTTTACAAACAGCTGCAATGAAGCTGGATTATTGCTGTTATTGCGGCGTTAAAGAATAAGCAACAACCAACCATCGACCAAATAGACAAATAGACAAATAGTCAAGAACCGACGCTGGCTTTCCATGACCGTTCCAACTAAGTCATCAAGCAATACATGCAATCAAATCAGTCGATTCGTGTGACAAGCGCAGGCTGCTGGGGATGTAACTGACATCTTGTCTTAAAACGGCCCTTAGATTTTTGTCAAAATAGATGAAAATGTCATCTGCACTAAGTTACCATTTTGTTGAATGATCAACTTTGTTGTAGGTGGTGAATTTGTTAATATTTTTGTCAGTACATCATAAACATATTGGGGCGGTGGGGTGGCCTAGTGGTTAAAGCGTTCGCTCGTAACGCCTAAGACCCGGGAGTAGTATGGGACTAAGGGTATGAGGACACCCAACTGCATGTAATCTTCCATAAAGATTTGGTAGCCTCCTTAATTTAATAAATACATAACAAATAAATTAATTCGTAATTATAATGTTGAATAAATAACAGAAATATTGAATAAACAATACCAACTACCAGTCATCACTTCTCCTCTGAAATTGTGAACTAGCAACGCTTACTTTTATAGATTTCCAGTAGGTAGTCTTAGAAACGTCTGGGTATTTATGGGAACAGGGCGTGCGTCTGACATCAGCAGCTGTCCAAACGACAATGAAACGACCCCCGCGATGACACTGTATTTATTTGGCAGGCGCGGACGTCGGAGAGAACAACCAATTAAAACGATTGAAAATCGATTATAGCTCATCTGCACTCATTATTTGTGTTTTCATTAATCATTGTCTATTCATTTCTGGTCTATATTCACGTCTTATCTCCTATTATGTTTTAGATAACAAACACCATCTCCTCGTTCTTACGAGTTTTGGATGGAATTAATTGTTGATTAATAATTAATTGTTGAATTTAGGGTTTGTCATCGAAATGACACTACAAAATGTCAGTGCATAAAACGTAATTCAAAAAATGCTAATACAACTATCAATAAATGTATTGCTTTATTTACACGTGTAAATGACTGTAAAACTTGGCGGTTACGTTTTATAATCATGATTTGCATTATAGTTGTGTCAAACGATATGAAAGGTTGGCTCACTAACACACTGACCTAGTTACAAGTCTATTATGTATAGCGAGACGAGTGGACAAAGTAAGACTGTCTTAAACACAAGCCACTGCAACACGAAATATATTGTTGGATACAAGTGGATGGTGTAAAACTATGTATAACCTGTGACTGTGTTCTGTTCAGCAGGGAGTACTTATGGATGACGCCTGTTACGAATCCGTACGAGAGTGAGGACCGTGTTTACATGGCAAGGCCTGTTTACGAGACCATGTGAAAAAATGTGACTGTTGATCTCATGGAATATTTAGAATATACCATCCTGTATGTCGATCACATGGATTATATGGAATATGCTATACTTTGGATACATGATAATTAGCAGGTGGGAAACAGTTTGAAATTGTAAGCCAACATGTATATAAAGGCTTATGTTATGATGTGATGTATCGTGAAAGTAGCATCTGTTGCTACTTAGATTTACAGGCTTATTAAATATTGTGTATAGAAGTTGTATATTGTCGTTGTTTATTTCGCCTAATAAGTTTACATTCATATGCGTTGGTCCCATTATACAAACGGACGACTTTTTCATCATGGCGTCGGCCCACGCTATAAAGGACGCGAGCTATGACCTAGTTTCACGCATGGGCGGGAGGGGGGATTCCCCCTCGTGACGTCAGCCTAATGGGTAGCCTCTCGCATTCAGGGAGGCTACCAAATCTCTATGGAAGATAACATGCAGTTGGGTGTCCTCATACCCTTAGTTTGCCTACTACTCCCGGGTTCGATTCCCCACAAGTGAAGCTCATTTGTGGTGTCCCCCGCCGTGATATTGCTGGAATATTGCTAAAAGCGGCGTAAACTCATAAACATATTAACACTCACATTCACACAAAATAAATGATTTCTTAATAGAAATATATGGATTCATCAATACAACTGCGCCAATGGCTCGTTTGAGTTTGTCATGTAGAATAAATAATTCAAATTGTGGAATTCAAACTACATTCTCACCTGCAGCGTTTCTACACCTAGTCAACAGCGGGCATACTCATGTGTCGTTAGGATGGCGAGAGCACTGCATCTACTGGAGACTTATCGTAACGTGACTCCTATTAGAGGATACATCAGATGACATCCCACATTCGTTCACGGAAAACAGGTCTTGTGGGTTATTCACATTTGAAGCATTGTAGTTGAAACTGAGAACTGGGTTTTCCCAGTCATGTCTTCTGAGCTTTTCTCCTGTGTAAATTTGCTAAGCGGAGTGAAGATTAATGATGAGTAGGAATAGACAGAAATCACTTCTATTATATTCAGGTTTTGGCGTCTAGTTTAATATATATTATCTGTGCACATCACTTGATTGCCACGAATGTGTTCAGGTATATGATACTGTTAACACATGCATCAGCAGCTGTTTCATTGTAATCTATCCTCGGTGCTTAATCTTAACATCTATCAGACTTGAGTCTACACAGAGAATTAAACGGTAGATGCTATGATCAACATCATCGGGTTACACTACCA